AAAGCATGACTACAGAATGTCCAAAATGCACCTAAAGAGATTTGTTCTGGGGTTTGTTTTATATTAAATAGATTGGCAGAGTGTGTACTGGGTAGCTCACTTAAATTTAAAGGGGACCTATCATTCAAAATGCACTTTTTGATGTCTTTTATACATAAATACGTGTCCCCGGTGTGTCAGGGAACTCACGCAGCATCAGAAAATAAAACCCTCTCTTTTCCTCCGTACCCAAATCTGTAAAAACGGGGCTACAACGGAGCTGATCCAGATTTGCGTCCGATATGACGTAATATCGGAAATGTAGGCTGGCTTTACACCCACGGCCCTATCAGAAACGTTGCTATCAGAAACAATGCCCGACTGTTTTGGATGTAATATGGTCGGTGTTTACATTAGCATCGCTAACACTCAGAGCTAACCTGTACTGGAGAGCATGTGTGTGAAGAAGCAGGATATAAAAAGGAACTCACCTTGAGGTATAACCGGCAAGAGAGAAAGCCTTTGAGCTCCATACTGTTTCAGAACTAATCCTTGATAATCCATGATATGGCGTTTCATCACGGCAGTATTTAGTTTAGACAGTAGCTGCCGGGTCCCGCATGAGCTCAGCCCCCTCCTTTTTTTTTTAAAATCAATTTTTTTTATTTTTAAAGCTTTATACCCCAAATCAGCACTTTTGAAACAGGAAGTGAAATAGAGGGATATGAGGCATGGCTAGAATGGGTGATCTGTTTGGTATTTGGAGCAAAACACTTCATAGACGTGGTTTTTATATATTTTTATATATCTGAGACCTATGCTATTGCCTAAAAATAGCATGATAGGTGCACTTTAACTTTTCTTCACTTGCGTAATTTTTCATAAATGAATATCCTGTCCTTCATAAGATCTATACTTATTGTTGACAGCTACTGAACAGTATGAACTACACCTTTATCCAGGTCTGGTAAACATCCTTGTGTTTTCGGCACTTTTACTCTCCTATCTCCTCCTCAGCCACTTCATTGTCCTCACCTTTATGTGGGTGTCTTTAACTCCTCCTAATCTGATTTTAACAGTTCTTGAAAAATCAATATCACCGCCGCCACTCCTCAGTGCCTCGCTGTCAGCTTTCTAGCGGCGGTAAAAAGCAGTCTGGCCCTGCAGCTCGGTGCTCATCCCTCTCCTCCGCCTGTAATTGCTTCATTAGAGCCTCTGCAGCCTCTCTGCCTGGTAGCTGGGGAGATTTAATAAGAGCTCTGAGGATGCTCTCAGACTCTCGCGTCTCGGCTTCTAGGATATTGCCCTGGAATTTCTAATAGCCCGGCTCCGTTCCAAGGAAGACAAAAAGTCAAAGAACATCAAACTAAGTACACTCCTGGATCCCTGCAGTCCTCACGCAGCGCTTCCCGACCTTTTGTTCTGTGGACCCCCGTGGGTAATGCTTCTTCTACCGCCGAGACAATGAAACAGAGTGGATTGAGTTTCTTGTGGATTATTTTCTGAGAGATGAGTTTCACTGACAGCCAGATTATATAATAGGCTTGTATAGAAAAAGTTAAAAAAACATTTTCAGCCCACTCCCTTATACATTTCCAGCAGTTCAAGCTGGTATATCATTACTGACTTTAGGAGTTTCCACCCCTTCATTAAACAATGATAGGAATGTTCCCATATGAGCACTGAAACAGGTTTTGCTTGCTGTTATCATTTCTTGAGTTTAGGAAATCCCCTTGTAATGCACTCCTGAGTTATTTTTAGGTCATCTTTTGTCTGAGATCTTCGAAAGTATTGTTTTTCTTTTGCTTAAAAAATACTTCAGTGAAGGCAAGCTTACAATAAGAGGGACTTTTCTAGTGCAAAAAAAGACTTACACTTTAAAATATACACATCATTTTTGACAGAAATGTGGATTAAAAAATACGTATTTTTGGCTCATCAGAACATTATCTGTTGCGGCTTTTTAATGTACAGTTTTGTACGTGATGTCATGCCGTACCCGGAACGAAATGGACCAATCCTTGGAGCTGTTACTTACGTCCGCGGAGCCGTTACGTTAAGCCCCCACTGATTGGTCCAAATTGACCAATCCACGGACTTCCTCACACACACATCTGTGTGCAGGGAGCAGGCAGCTCAGCTGATTTCTCCTCCCTGGCTGCAGGCTGATAACAGACAGTTGGGATCGCGGCGAAATTCTCTCTGCAGACGCATTCTCACAGCGTTTATCAACCTTTTTCTTACTCAATATCAAGCCACACTTATTGTTTTTACTTCGGCTGTGAGTTTGTGTGTGCTCAGGATGAGTTTGGCTGTGTATCGCTAAACAAGGAAACAACACCTCCACGGAGCTCAGCGCGATTCACAACGTCCCAACCAATCAGAGCACACTGTGCTCACAGGGAGGGTGGGGGCTGGAGCTATTGGAGCTACAACGAGCCGTTAAAGGCAGAGAGTGAAATTCAGTGAATACACGTAGTTTACAGAGATGCTGTATGAGAAACCAATGTGAGTTTGGAAAAATGCACAGTATAAATATATTTTAGTAGACCTCAACAATGGAATTATGATCAGTGGAAATGGCCATGACATGGGCCCTTTAAAGCTCAAACATTATCAGCCCACTCCCTTACACATTTCCCTTATCTTGTGCAACTTGAGCTGGTATATCATACTTTAGGAGTTTCCACCCCTTCATTAACAATATAGGACTGTTCCCATATGAGCACTGAAACATATTTGCTGTTATCATTTCTTGAGTAATGTGTCTGAGTTATACTAATGAAGTAAAGAAAGGATTGTTTTTCTCTTGCTTCAAAAATACTGTAGAGAAAGCATACTTACAATAAGAAGTGCAGGTGGATTAAGAAATACTCATGATCTGTTGCGGCTTTTTAATGTTCAGTTTTGGTCGGTCACGGCCCAGAGAACTTTGATTTAATGAAACGACTCCGGAGAAAAGTTTGACAAGATTTGGCAATCATTTCGATACAGGGTTCATTTAAAAAAAAATCAGCTGACCTGTTATAAGTAAGTACAAAAGGTATATTACTGTATAAGAGCATCCATCCAGAATATAGTTTGAGGTACTATTCATGAAATCCCTAAATTAAAAAAATTCACCACAGTTACTACAGTTTGACATTTTGGCAATGTGTGCAATAATCGCTGTGCTAGATTCACTGCATTTCCCTCTGGATAAAGTATCAGCCAATTGCTTAAAACGTGCATATTAAAGGAGAGATGACAGCTGTAGAAGTAATATAATAAACCCTTACGGCAGAAGCAGTAGGTCCTTCAATTATTATACAAGAAAGTGAAAGAGAATATTAAGGTGTAGAGGGGAAAGCCAATTGAAACATATAATACTTTGTTATATAAAATAACTGTGATTAACTTCTGTATCGTGGGGAAGGGTTTTGTTTCTCATTCATTCTACTCAGTCTTTCAATTTCTACTACAGTTAGTTTCAGCATGAACCCTCTGCAGATTATAGTGACCAGTGCCGAATGAACACAAGCATGAAGGGTGCTGCCACAGAGTATCTACAGTAGGACTTTACTATATATAGCAAACAGCATGGGGGATGGGGAAAGCTGATGACCGTGTGTGTTTGTGTGTGAAACTCACTCACAAGATGACCAGAGGTGAATGTGTACACTGTGTGTTTCTGCCTCAATGTGTGCATTAACACCACACTATAAAAGATGGAAGTGTAGCTTGCATTTAACTCAAGTCTATTTGTACAAACACACAGAAAATATTACTACTACAATTGATCATGTTACTGTTTTATTAGCCTGCATTAACTTAAAGGGGACCTATCATGCAAAATGCACTTTTGTACGTCTTTTATACATGAATATGTGTCCCCGGTGTTCCAGGGAACTCACCAAGTGTCAGAAAACACAACCCTCTCTATTTTCCTCCATACCCAAATCTCTAAAAAAGGGGCTGCAACGGATCTGATAAAAACTGATCCAGATTTGAACACTGTCCTGACGTCAGGACGGTGGCGCTACGGCTATTGGGCCAACTCCACCAATCAGGGGGAGACAGCCACGGCCATTGCCGTTCGAAAGCGCTGGAGACGCTGTAGTACATATGCCAGGCCTGTAGGTGGTGCTGTTCTCACTGAATCAGCCCTTGCAGAGCAGAGCTAAAAAAAAGTGCAAATTGAGCGAAATGAGGCATGGCTAAAATGCATGATCTGTTTGGTATTTTGAAAAGAAAAAAGTATAAATATGCCTTATACAGTATAGGTATGGTCCTACACTATATTATTCAAATATAGCATGATAGGTCCACTTTAAGCCAGGTGTAGTGTTTTGTTTTCACTTTAACAGTTCCAGTTTATTTCCCGTAGAGGATATTAACAAATTGCAAAACACAGGTGAAATCTTCTCTTGGAAGATTTCTGTCACTTGTTTCAAGATTGAAATTTCGTACCATATTGTTTGTTAAAAACCTCCATATTTAACGCCTTAAATTGAAGAGTTACGGAGCCTTTTATAAAGCAAGAGTTCTTGTTGTACACTCAGATGTAACTAATGCAGTTTGATATAAAAGCCTTAGGTCCTGCCTTCATGGAGGTTATCACAATGACTCCATCCCATTGCTATCAAAAGAGTACAACACAATGCAGTTCATCATACAATTACTACTACAATTATTCATGTTACTGTTGTATTAGTCTGCATTAGCTTAAGCTAGGTGTAGTGTATTGTTGTTGTTGAAGAAATGCCGTTCTTACCTGTAAAGCAATGTTATTAAAGTTCACATACACTTTTGAAATGTTGATATAAGATATTTGTAGTGAGTAGTGAGATTGTGGGGGATGGGGAAAGCTGATGACCGTGTGTGTTTGTGTGTGAAACTCACTCACTCACAAGATGACCAGAGGTGAATGTGTGCACTGTGTGTTTCGGCCTGAATGTGTGCATTCACACCACACTATAAAAGATGGAAGTGTAGCTTGCTTTTAACTCCAGTTCATGTGTACATATATGTGTCGCACTCACGTGATGACCAGTGAGGTGGAGAAGAGCAGAGTTCCCAGCAGGCCTCGTCGACAGTCTGCGTTTTTCCTCTGGCGTTGGTGCATCTCGCCGCCGCAGTTATCGCAGCAGCGGCACATGCAGAAGAAGATGCCGATTATCGGAACCAGAACGGCGAACAGCAGGCCGAGCGCCGCACAAACTACGAAGCCGATCTCATAGTAGATGGCCTGGGGTCAGCAGGGGAGGAATGAGATGAAGAATAAAGGAGAATTCATTAAAGGATATACAGGAGAAAGGTGGTGGACATGGAAATTAGATTAAAGGAAGAGGGGGATCAGAGGCGGGAAGATAAAAAGGGAGATGACATAACAAGAGTGTAAAATGGGATGGGGATTGTTGAGGAAAACAGAATTGGAACAGAAGAGGTGGGATAGAAGAAAGGAGAGATTAATAATAAAGGGAGAAAAAGGGAGAAAAAGGGAGGACACATACAAAGGGAGGACACACACAAGGAGGCAGAGGATATTTAGAAATCTAAAAATATCTGGTCGGATCATCCCACTGCTGGAAATTCTCTCTGTACTCCTTTGTCCAAAAGGGATTTGTGGGTAAACAATAAACACATTACGTAACACTACTCATTGCTAGAAAATCATTTTTTAATAGTGCTCAAATACTACAAGCCAATTCAAACATTATGAAACAAGACTCTTTCTTGAAATTATTGTATGGCAACGCTTTCCTCACACACACACACACACACCACGCTGCAAGCTGATTAAGAGCTATAGTAAGCCAAAGGGTTTTTACATACATTTATAATAAGCTGAGAGGATAGCAACACATGAAGGATGATGGGGGGAAAAACTCAAAGGAGCCATTCATGTCGCGGTTTTTTCAACTCTAATGAAAGGGGAAAGGCAGCATTTCTGATGAACAACCTGCTTCAATAGAAATACACTTCAAGGCAGTTACTGTACTGCTCTACTGAAGTACTTTCATCTTAAAGTGACTCATACAATTCATATTTCTCTTGGAACAAGGAGACACAACTGCCCATTTGGTATAGCACCTGTTAGACTGCAGTTCATGTGTTTTTTAATAATTTATTTGAGGAAGTCGTGGAAAAAAGGGACACATTTTCACTTTACCAGCTCTAGTTTATACCCCATAGAGGATATTAAGAAATTGCAAAACACAGGTGAAATCATCTCTTGGTTTCGTACCATATTGTTTGTTAAAAACCTCCATATTCAACGCCTTAAATTGAAGCGTTACGGAGCCTTTTATAGATTCCTGTTGTACACTCAGATGTAACTAATGCAGTTTGATATAAAATCCTTAGGCCCTGCCTTCATGGAGGTTATAACAATGACTCCATCCCATTGCTATCAAACCGTTCTGAGTATAACACAATACACTTCATCATAAATTACTACTAAAATGTATCATGTTACTGTTTTATTAGCTTGCATTAGCTTTAGCCAGGTGTAGTGTTTTGTTGTCGTTGAAGAAATGCAGTTCTTACCTGTAAAACAACGTTATACAAGCTCACATGCACTTTTGAAATGCTGATATACGATATTTGTAGTGAGTAGTGAGATTGTTACGAATAAGGGGGCAGTTATTTGGGTTAAACAGTTAGTAGAGGTTTAGTAAGATATAGTACGTTTCGGGGATTAAAATGCATGGACTGAGCCTGGTAACAAAGAAGTAAGCTTAGGGTCATCTGCCTGTCATATATGTATACATGATAACTCTGTTTTTCTATAGTTTGCCCTATATGATTGCGTTTGTCTCTGAATAGTCAGCTAGGAAATCTGCACATCACAAAGTCTAAGAAATCCCTCGACTTTGATTGAATATTAGAAATATTCAAAGTGACTTCTTTGAACTTCCCCCTGATATACTGAGAGGGTGAATTGCTGCTGTTGGCAGGTCCTCAGTAGAGCCTCACCTCCTCTTGTCATGTACCACAGTGCTCCTGCTTAATCTGCCCCTATCTCCACCACACTCAGCACAGCTTTGGAAATTGGCAAAATTGAATAGGGGATTGGCAATTCCCACACCGCATGTAACTTGTCACAATGATGTTCAATAGCTTCTCGTAATGAAAGGATCAAAGCGGGGCTGCTATCATCGCTCCTGAATGGACGAACTGCTCCCCCGGCTGATTCACACTAATCTTAATCGCCTTCATAAGTCAATGACCCTGCCTTCTCCAGGGACCTGCGGCTTTTTGCTTTTTTAACATGAAGGGAGAAAAGAAATGGCTTCTGAACTTGGCAGAGAAGACTATTCTTCTCTGGTTCATTCCTTAAATCTCTGTGCAAACTTGGAAGTCTCAGCCGGTTAGCATAATCCAGCCTTTAAACCAGAGGTGTCAAACTCAAATACACAGTGGGCCAAAATAAAAAAATGGGTACTAGTCGAGGGCCGGACTGGTTCAATGTTTATTGCAAAACTTATTGAAATGAACTTATTGCACATATTAAACCTGGAACTAACAAAGCTTAAATGATTGCCTATAAAAACATTAAACATTAAATAATCAGTTGCATTCATTTCTTATGGCTCTATCTGCAGCTTTTCCGGAGTCATTTCTTATGATTACATTTTTCCACAGGCCAACAACAGCTTAAAAAAAAACTATTCCCCTCAAAGAAAAAAACAAACATGCCCTGTTGTCGTGAGAGAAAAAGTGCAAAAGGAAACATCCATGTAAACTCAGTGTGCTGCTCTGTGATGCTAGTTCAAGCCAGATACTTGGCATCTCATCTTGGGTGCAAGTTCATCAATGTTTGGGGTCAGGCTCTGAGCTGAGGAGACCCTCAGGATTGAGGCGGGCCAGATCTAATAGTAATTAGAAATTATCCTGCGGGCCGAAATTAAATCCACCAAGGGCCTGAGTTTGACACATGTGAGTTAAAGGCTTTTTTGGCTGAGTGAGGCTCCTGGGTGTGTTAAAAACAGAGTTTACGAGAGGTAGGAAGAGAAACACTGTCAGTCACACTCTTTATGACCTTAAGGAATGAAATCATACATGATTTTAGGGTCACTGGAAACAGAGAGACAATGTGGGAACCCGAGTTTCCCTCCATCTAAAAGCACAAATCTCAAACCCGTTTTTAGGACATTTTGCAAATATGAACGCTTGCCTTGCCATTCTGCTTCTGGGCCTCGCTTGTTATTGGGTGTATTTTCACAAAAAAAATGTTGTTTTTTCCACCGCCACTCTTTAAGGGCTTGCAGCTCTGACTATTTTTGGACCATAGCTTTGTCTTGGCAATTGCCCAAAAGCAGAAGGTGACCTTAAAATACGAGCAAACTGGAGGATGAGGTGGCATCATCATGAGTGGTGAGGACAGGCAATTCTCAAACTTTAATCAGATTTAAATCAAAGCAGCACCCTCAAGTCCTGCTGAAGTGTCCTTGAGCAAGATGTTGTTACCCTAAACTGCTCACTGACTGTCAGATAAATGCTGCAGAATCCACTGTGAATGAATTAACATCACAGTTCTTTGTGAATGTAGTGCTTCCTGTTTTGATTCATAATGGTGGCTCAGATCTTGGCGCTTGATGAATTGGATTGGATGCCACTCAGGAGCTACAAGAGGAACATGACGTATTTATGATTTTCTAAGTAGTGAAGACTGCATAAACACCAGCGGGCCTTTGATCACAGCTGGACTGTTTAAACCCACTGTTAGGAGGCTTTTATTTAAACCAAGATTACACCCACATTTCACTGATTAACTTTCAGGGAAATTGTCTGCTCTAATTATGGTTAAAAAACGTCTTTTTAAGCCTGATTGGTCCGCGATGCCTTTATGTCACATACAGAGGATGGTCAATGCTAATTCTTACTAAACAATCAAGGTTGCAGATATTTATTGAGATCATACTTGGACCGAGTCCATCCTTTTTTTTTTCTCCATTGTTGTCAGTTTGGTCTTGGAATTACAGTCTTTAAAAAACAGCGTGAATTTAATTAATTTGAAAAGTTTCACTACAGAATCGACATCTACTAATTCAAGTTCTGTGACCATTTTAAGCAAAGAAAAGCCAAATTGATTGTCACAATTCTGCAGTTTGTAAACATCGGTTGGTAGTTTTTAAGTATTGATATTGTAACTACAACATTTCCGGAAGCACTAGAAAATAAGATTCCCCCTATTAAAACCTGAACGGAGGCGATTGGATATGTATGGCTTTGTTTTGGTTATTTCTGTGGCTTCATTGCAAACTGTGAGTCAGTGTTCAACAGGGTTCATACACTTTTTCACCAATGATTTTCAATGACTTCTCCATGACCTTTACCTAATTTTCCATGACCAAAAGAATTACTCTTTCTCAGCGGTACCACTGAAAATGGTTTATTTTAACATGGAACAGGAAAATAAGGTCTGCATATGAAACATGTTGTGCCTATCTAAAACAAATCAAATAGTAGGCTTACTAGCTTCTACACGCTAAAGCAACTCAAATCTCTCACCAGCAAAATGCCTCGTCAGTTAAATGCCATTTTATGTTTCATTACTATACGATACAGTAATTACTATTTCGGCGATTAGATAAAATATAAATTATATTTGATGCAACTTTAGTTAAATTTCCATGACTTTTCCAAAACTTTGGGAAAAATATTGTTTTCCATAACTTTTCCAGGGCCTGGAATTAGCATTTTGAATTTCCATGACTTTTCCAGGTTTTTAATGACCGTAAGAACCCTGGTTCAAGGTCAGTGTGGAGATGTATGATACTACAAAGAGTTCTGTCAACATCGGCAAGCAAAATATCAAGTGTGTGTGTGTGTGTGTGTGTGTGCGTGCGTGCGTGCGTGCGTGTGTTTCTCATACTTGCGTGGATATTAGAGAAAATACTGCATGGAAGCAAATTAGACGGCTGACCAGCGGATTTCAAGCTATTCTGTATGAACATGTTTCTTTAGTAGTTTATAACACATTGAACATCCATCTGCTTTATCATAAGGCTGACAAGTTCATTTTGACACTAATGCAGATATTTAAGGATAAATTGCCAAACCCATATTGCTATTTTTCCTTTAGGTTGACGGTAATGTGCTGGTTTTTGATACATGCTTAATGACTGATGTCCTCAGCAACCAAGTTTGGAAATAAAGGGAAATATTTAACAATGATCATAACCCAGGGGAGTTTCAGACCATCACATTGGTGTTACACATGTCATTTGTAAAATAAATGTCACATTGTTGCTCCTATGAAGCTGATCTAAACCAGAACTCAAATGAGACTCAAGCTACAGATTAGCATAGCTAACTAAATGTCGATAAGGTGGATAGGGAGGCTGGGTGGGAGTCTTAGGGCTGCACAACTGATCCCAAATATATTGAAATGATAAAATGATGAAATAAATGAAAGTGTTGTAAAATCTCAAAAAGAATGTAACATATAGTTTATCATTTTGTATCTGGAGTTGTGCAGCCCTGGTGACTCTGGACAGTGGAGCATGGTGAGGAAGGGGATGGGTGTCACTATAAGACCAGTGTGCAGACTTTACCTGAAGAGTCAGCACTATGTTCTCTGGCTGAGGGAGGCCAGAGCAGAGCAGATCAGATGGAGAGGGCATGCAGAAGACAAAGGCAACGCAGCGTCAAAGAAAGAGCCAAGCCACCAAACAAAAACATGTGGATGAAATAGAACAACAAAGAAAAATCAAATGATTGAAAACTGGCATGCATATTCACATAGTAGTTGCTTATCGTAACGCTGCAAAAAGACAGCAAATCATCCCGTTATTGAGAGGAAGGTACAGAGGAAGCCTTTTGATCTCAGGGACTATCAAAGTTGTTCCCTATACAAACTAATGATGTCACTCTAAATTCACAGGTTGGACCAGAAGCAATTACCATTTTTTTCAGATGTGGCAGTGAAAAAAATGGCCTTGCCTTGGCTTCTAAAAGCTATTAAAGCCTGAGACTACAGAGTATCTCAGAGGTACATTTCTTCTGTAGTTTTATCGTGAATTGCAGCTTCCAATCAAAAAAACATAATGCAATAAGGAAAAGGGAAAGCAACAGAAAAAACAACTTAAAGTTTAACACACACAAGGTTACCTTTTGGTATTCCGTCTGAATGGCCCCAAACTTTTCCTTTGCCAGCTTGACAAGAAGATCTGCAACAACAAAGAGAAAAGACATGAAGAGACCTTTGGTTGTTTTTTCTATATCCATTACTGCAGTATATACATCTATACTAACACAGTGTATAAGAAACATTAGGGTCACTAAAATCAATCAGTCTTGTGGATAAGTATCTTGAAAATGAACGACTCTGCTTTGGTCAATAGTCCAACGTTTGTGTGTTTATTTTACAACCCAATTTCTGGGGTATTCTTTTTATTCGGGGTGTGTTTTGAGACTTTTCCCAGCCAGGAACAGGAACAAATACTAGATTCTTTGTTTTCATCTATGACAAGAAAGTTTCAGGAAGCAGCCAATCACTGCGGGTCCGTTCATCTATCCTTCTTCCCTTTTTGGTTTAGACAAGGCAAGTCTGACAGGATGACAAGCTTTTGTATTTATTCCTCTCCTGACGTCACGTTAGGATCCTGTTGATATTCTGCTTTCCGGGTCTCAGAATAAATCACAAGGAATCTTTACTGCAGGATACTGGGATGCTGGATGTTAAAGTCCTTGTATTTGGCCTGTTTTGACTTTTGAAATGCTAAAAGTTCAAATTGTATCTTAGCAAAAAATTACCTGATACCCAATAAAAATAGGTTGAAATTCAGATGCCTTTAAAAAAAACACTTTTTGTGAGACATGGTTCTTGGATGATGAAGCCATCTGACCATTTATTTCCCCATTCAACCCAGAACTAACATGACGCCATTCAATAAAGGGAATACTTGACATGATTATAAAAGGGACATTTGTCAACCTTAAAATGTCAAGTTATTTTCTTAATGAATAAACATAATTTATTATATATAAAGTATTAGTACGACCAACAAATCCTCATTAGCTTGGCTGGCTATAGAGAGGCGAAATCCCTCCCCTTCCAGTAGGACACATGGGACCTTATTTCGGAAAAAGTTTGGATTGAAGTCAATGGAGAGAGAAAGATTATCTTTCGATCCCGTTTGAATTGTGCCACGAATTACACATATGATGTTTGTCAATCTTAAAAAATAATTTCCATGTCAAAAAAGTCACAGTTTGTCGTAAAACTGTTGAAATATAAGACTATGAAAAATACGCAACTAGAAAGACTACAAATCCCAGAATCCCGGTCCCGCATGCTGGCTCTTACGGAACCGACTAACTCCCCTTGTGTGTATGTACAGCTCTCAACATGCCCAGACTTGGAGTGATTTTCACCTCGTTTAATACTTTCCGCCTCATTCTGAAAGAAAGAAGTGAAATGTGCCAACGTGACGGCCGTCTTGGTGTGTGGTGCGAGACGGGAGATGTAGTTCATTGAGCGGTTTCACACAAAACAAAGTGTTACTTCACAGTTTTACGACACATTTTTATTTTTTGGACTTGTAAAATTATCTTTTAAATTGACAAACATCATATGTGTAATTCGTGGCACAATTCAAACGGGATCGAAAGATAATCTTTCTCTCTCCATTGACTTCAATGCATAACTTTTCCGAAATAAGGTCCCATGGAGGTCCCCCGGAAAGGGAGGGACTTTGCCTCTCTATACACTGGTAGGGGCATGGTCGTAGGAAGCATCCTCAATGTGGGTGGGACAATTTGACAGGCGGTGTGGGCAGGTGGGTGGACCTCACCTCCTCTAGGGGGGTCCGGCGGCATTCGCAGCAGGGAAACTGTGGCGCGCATAATTTTACAACTAAAGACACAGCTACAGAAAAAACGCAGCATGTGTACGGCTCTGAGAATCTGCCATGGCACAAAGTAGCAGTGAAAACATGGTACGGAATTTCATTGATTTGGGCTTTCTCACAATAAGCAAGTGGAATGGATTCGATAATGAAGCACTGGCACAGCGCTCTACAAAGAGCGGCGAGTGGATAGACCGATTCACGGACTTTCCGCATAGTAAAAGTGGGGGGGGTCTAAACTAATCATTTTAAAAGGTGGGGGCGACTTGTCCCACCCTCATATAATGGCTGCGACGCCCATGGGTAGGGGACACACTATGATAGTGTCTGAAGAAACAACGCTTCTATTGTTCGAAATTCTTTTTCAGTAACATCTCAAATACATTCAATCCACTTAAAAAATGGAAATCCTTGAGGAAATCATTAAGCAACAACCCAAATAAATCCATCTCCTATAAAAAGCTGTAGGTCTCAGTTCTCCTTCATCCACACCTGAAGCAGCGCTGTGACTCATGTTTTAATGATGACAGAGACAGCAAGTCTCCTCAGAGGCAAACGGCTTCCAAAAATAAGATGCAAAAAAAAACACAAAGGCAGTTTTTCCCCTCCTTCTGCAATGCAGCCTTTTTTCTACGAGGGAACAACACATCCTTCAGGGAAACTGTTGACAATAATTGTTTTAATTCATCCCAAAACAGCCTGATGATCCCTGCGTGTTACTCAAAGAAATGAGATTTGTTTTAATAAGAGGGCGCTCCAGGCTGATACTTCACCTACTTGTCATCGCTGTTTAGGAAAAGACAAGCTTATCTTTTTAAAGCAGTCATGTCTAATTGCCTTTATTTTAACATTTACTAATGCAGGATTATTTGGCCGAGAGGGCGTTTTATGTTTTTCTCATACTTGACCTGCTACAAACACACACACTTATGCTGGTGTTACAGAGCAAAGCAGGTGCAGCAGGTGCCTTGCTCAAGGGCAGTTTGAAGTGTTGTTATAGTGAGCGATCAGCTGAAGGTAGTGATACACATTTCTTGCCAGGATTGTCCCACTAAGTTTGAGAAACACAGGTTTCTAGGTTAGTTCCTCCTCCCTTGATAGCTGTCGTCAGCCACTATTGTGCGTTTTTGAGCTGTAAAATGATCCAGGCTTTTTAGAGAAAGATGAGCCCGGCCCAGCTATCATATTTTATTGTTGTTCTGCCCCCTCTCTCTCTCTGTGTGTTTCAAAGAAGCCCCTGACCTTGTTGTGAAGGTGTTTTTAAAATTCCCTTTGTTCCCAACAGGATACAAAGTGTAGTAAACACGGTCTCTGTACAGTAAGCCTTCAGGCCTAAACATTGCAGAAATATGTCAACATTTTGAGATACACTGCGGAAAAAAATGTTGCTGACCTCACAGAAAGGCAGAGGGTTTTGTGGGGAAAGATATCAACTTCGAAATATGTGGATTCAAGCACAGACAGAACAAAAGCAAATCACAGTTCAACTGTAATATCGTAGCATTTAGAAACATTAGACACATTTTGGTGCACTTTTAAAAGAATCATGAGTCTGAACCGTCTGAACCCTGCTTCCTTTAGCAATACAATCTCAAATAAAATGGCCAAAAACGATTCACTTTTCTATCATAGAACACAAAGAAGACCAGCAGTCATCATATTGAAGAAACTTGTTAAATCCTTTCTGCTTGAAAAATGACTTAATTATTGAAATAGTGAGTTTTGTATTTGTTGCAGATTCATTTTCAACAGATGGGCTTCCTTTCTGCTCTGATTTAAATCTAGTTTTATAAGATGACACTTGAATGTAAAGTAATTGCCATCTGGATTGAAATAATTCAATGTTTTTTCACTGTAAAAGGTTTGTTGCATTGCAGGAGCTGTTGTGGTGTTCATGTACCTCAGTGAGAAGTCACGAGGAGCATGGATGGGAATACAAAGCGTGGACTCTGGGGTTTGCAGGCAGCTTCAAGCCAGCTTTTCAATCTTCAATATTTCATCAAGACCTAACCTTTCTCAAAAATCAAATAAGGGCTTAGCCAACGCGTAATCCCAGCAGCCGTACGTTTTCTAGGAAACTTGTTCATCAATGCAAATGAGTTTACACCGTATTGATATGAGACACTGCTGCAACTCCGAGTGAGAGAGGAGAGAGAAAACACGAGTGTGAGTGTGTGAGGACCGAGAATGAATGAATAAAGAGAAACCGACATACAATAAATCCACATGTTTTACTCAGCTGACGGCAGTTTGTTGTGCCTCGTGAGAAATGTTTCTACGACAAAACTCCTATCTCTGAAAAATGCATGAATGAACTTGTCACTGCTGGAAGCATGGAGGAATAAAAGAAGCAGTGAAGGATGGAGGGATATAGGAGCGAGGGAGGAGAAAGAAGTGACAGGGGAATTAGAGAGGAGAGAAAGACAAGAGGTGAAGGAGAGAAAAGCAGTGAGGAGAGAGGGCTGGATTCAGTCCATCCTCCGTTTCTTGTGAGCGGCGTCTAATCCCTCTCCATGAACGTAAAGCTCACTTGCTGCTAGTTTTCCACCCACATTACCTCTCTCCTCCCACCCTCTCTCCTCCCACCCTCTCTCCTCCCACCCTCTCTGCTGCCACTCATCTCTTTAAAAGCACATTCAATGTATTTGTCAGGATGCTGTGGCCTTTCACCCCTCTCCATGGGATCTCTCTCAGCAAAATGCATACAAAGTGTTGCATGTACATGTTTGAATACATTCATGTATGCATAGCAGAGGCCAGCTGCCGTAGCGTCTCAGCTCTAAAGCGATGTCGAGGTTTTACAGCAGAGTTAACGAAGCTTTGCAGGGAGCTCAAGATAAAGCCCAACCTGGCGAGATGAATGTTTCATCAGTTTCAGTAGAAAGGAGTTTCTCGCCCCCAGAGGAATCCTGCCGCTCTCTGTCTTAGTTTGGCTTCTCGGTTTAAGAATAGCAGAGAAAGGAGACGTTTTAAAAGTCCATGAACAGAGAGGTTTTCTGGACAATAACTTTATCTGAACAAAGTTACTTAATTAACTGCAGTTTATTTTATTGGTTGAAACTCCCGTTGAATGTTTGGCCTTAAAGTTGGTTTGGTGTTTTTTTTCTGCTACGTTTTTTAAAAGTAAACCAGCATGTTTGCGTTAAAATAGATTTCTAGAATGCCCTTCAGACGTGCATTGCTTTGTCTAGTAGGACGTCCGTGGGTGTGCTTCTTGCTGCGGATATGAAAAGATAAACAACTCGACCCTTTTTCTTCTCTTTTTTACCCAGAACAAATCCTTACAGAATTCCGAAATGCAATATTTAACTTCGCCCATG